AAATAATTTCAGCTCTTTCCCATCTACTTGAGTCTGCCCGTCTTCTGATCATCTCCGTTCATTGCCAGCCTACCACTTCAGAGATGATACTGTTACGGCCTAGTTTTTTAAAAATATAGTCCTTCTCGAACTCCCAAGGAAATGCATTCCACTTCCCTCCTCTCGTGTCTCCCGTCTTCCAGGAGCTATAATTTATCCTGTCAGAATATTGCTGAATTCACTGCCCGGTGCTACGTTCAGTCCCTTAATTAATCAAGCCCTGTGACTGAGAGCCAAGTCCTGGCCAGCACAGTATCTCCAACGTACATGATGCCAGAAAGGTGACTTGGGGATCAGAAGAAAACCTTAAACCCAAAACTACTATTCCAAATAAAAGTGATTCATTTTGTCAGCTGTGATCAAACAGCACAGTGAATATTTAACCCTTTTTAATATTATAATAAAAGACATTGCCATCAGTTCCTTTAGGATACTTCCGCTTTGCGTTGAACACATTTATCTGATCATTCTTGCCACTTTCTGAAGCAGTGCTGGAAGTCCTCTTCTGTGAGTGTCTTCAGCTGCACATCACCACCTGTCTGACTTGAATCTATTCAAAATGCTTGCCCTTTCTGGGCATTCTGACTTTGAGGAAGAACCGGAAGTTGTATAGTGTGAATAAGGACACATCATAATGTGTGTATGACTCTGTCTTCCCCTCAGATATAATTTGACAGCTGCATTCACCATCATATCTCGGAAACACACTGCTCCAGAAGTTGGAGAGAATAGGATACATGTGTTCAAAGCAAGAGAGATTATGTTGAGGGAGATTAATAGCAACCTTTCTTTTATTATAATACATTTTAAAAATTTAAACATTCACCCTATATTTTGATTAGCTCTTGTAATTTATTTTTATTTATTTATTTTTGGTACCAGGGATCAAACTTGTGACCTCACACTTGCCAGGCAGGTACTTGTGCTGCTGAGCTATATCCCCTGCCTTTGTAGCTTATTTTAACTGATACGGCTTTCGTAGGATTTTCATAAAATTGCTGATTTAAATTTCCCTCATGTATCATGTAGGTTGAGGTTTTTGGTATGGGTTTTTATTCAATTGATGTGTGTGTGTGTTTTAATGTTTTAGATTCTAACTTTAAAAGATAGAGCTGATTTTTCTTCCCCTAAGAAATGGCAATGTACTGTTGTCTCCACCTCCATGTGACATTTCCAGAAATGAAAACTAATTTTCAAAATTATAAGAAAAATGACATAGTTTTAAATCAGCTTTAAATAAAAAATTTTAATATAATTATATTAATAATTTGTTTTATAGTCTCTATATATTGTTAAATATTTATCATAAGAGCTTTACTCCCTGAAAAAATTGCACCATATTTTCTTAAGCCTAGATAAATTTAAGCCATTTATGACTGTTATAAATTATATGACATGTAGAAGAAGCTGTTGTAGTCAGGGGTTGTACAAAGAGAACAATTCAGATCAGGACATGGAGTTTATAATATTTTTATAATGGTCACCGGGAGTTAACACCGGAAAATGCAGGAAATTTATCCACAACACCAAAGACATATTTAGTCAAGGGTCTAAACCCCACGGCAATGTCCCACATGAGTCCAGATAAAAACCCAGAGCTCAGGACAATGCCTCCCACGAGTCCAACTGGAGGTCCAGAGCCCACAAGAAGGACTCACGCTAGTCTCTTTTACGGATCCGTGCGGGGAAGACCCAAGGGTCAGCGGTGGAAGCCAGAAAGTCTATGCCATCGGGGTGAAGGAGCTGTGCTGGTGGGATGAGGGTTCTACACTGGAGCTGAGAAGTCACACTCACAACAAAGAGCGGGGCTGTCCTGAAAGGCACCACAGCTGTCCTCGGTGACACGGAGACCCCGAGCTCCTCCAACAAAAAGCACAGTCGGGTATGTGCCAGGAAGCAGCGTGACGAGTTTATCCTGGAGACCAAACAGCACATGTCTTCCCCTCCGGAGCCAGGAAGCAATGCTCAATGTGAAGACCAAAGCTTCTCCAGGAGAACCAACAGCTCAGACAGCAACTCATAGGAGAACTTACAATGCCTGCTTAACGCCTCAACCCTCTCAACACCTCTCTTCTTCTCCACCTATTTATCCTGGCAGACCTCCTCAGGTGGAGCATCTTCTCTCAATGCATGCTGATGTAATCCAGCTGGCGTTAAGTTGACCACCAGTTTTCAAACCATAACAGAAGCCAAGGATGGCACCTCTGCCGATTTGTACCTCTTTGGAATTGGTGAAATCCAATAGGATTTTTCAACGGGGATTTTGCCTTTGGTTTAAACAGTGCATAGTTAATGTTCAGTGTTTAGCTAGTTAATTTTAAAAGTAGCTAAATATGAATAACTATAAAAGCCAACATTTACATAGCACTTTCTGTGTTCTGTGTATAGCACTGTGAAAAGTGCCATGGGCATATTTTATTTAATTCTCATTAAAATATCAAAAGGTAGGTACTATTTCTCATAGATGAGAAAATCTGAGATGTGAAGAACCAGGCTAACCCAATGTCACATAATTACTATGTGCAAAAGCCAGAATTCACTCCCAGAGAGCTGGACTTCAGAGTTTTAATTACCATACTTTAGTGCCAGAAAAGAATTATTACAACATCTCCCACCATGGATCATCCTTGCCAGATGGTACAATGGCTTTTCATGAGAGGGAATTGATGAGAATGGCTGAGAACATGAGAGGACATGAACAAAGATGAAAAAGGCTATCGTGACTTGTTTAAGATTGTTCAACGAGGCAAGCAGGAAAAGATCCATTAGTACATGTGTAAGTATGACAAGTCTTGCTATTGTAACTTTTGTCTCCAACAGACAAAAGCACCCACTTCTAGCAATAGTTTCTGGACTCTTGAGGATGATCACCACGTGGAGGTAAGGGCAATAGAAACAGGCACTAGAGAATGACTTGGTTAGGAAGCAGGTGCACGGTCCCATACATAATAGGCAGTGCTTAATTGCGAAGGCTTCTTTCACCTCTTCAGACTACTAAAGGCTCCAGGCATAATGAATGGGTAAAGGAAGGATAAACAGGGCTTAACACCCACCCAGTAAAGAGTCACTGCACCAGCTCCTCCCCATTCCACAGTGCCTGGGGGCAGGCGAAGAATTCCAGCCCTGGCTAGGGGTGATGGAGAGGGAGCCACCAGGGTTAGCAGACACCTGCTCCTGATGCTGTAGCACAGGTGTTGTAAGTCTTAGCCTGGAGGCTCTTTGCTGCCTTTTGGTGGGCTGAAGTGCAGGGCCCTGGGGTGAGCAGACTTGTCAGCCCACTAACGTAAGTAAGCTATTTGAGTATTCCTGGGATAGCTTGTGAAAGGAAGTCTGGCCCATGTTCGCTGCTGCGCTCCACAGAACCCAAATCCAGTACTGTGACTTCCATCAACCAATTACATGGCAACCTTAAACATAATTAAAATTTTCCCACATTCTCTTTTCTGAGACTAGAGAACTCATGCTCAGAAATGACCTAATGTTTCATCTTTGACATTTCAAAGTAAACTTTAAGGATTTCTGTTAAGTCGCATGATTGAAAGAAAGGAGAGAACAATCAACTCATTATGTCCTGTCCTTTTCCTATTTCTGTATCTGAAAGGTAGTCTGTTTTCTGGAAATGTGTGGAGTGATAGTAATTTGTTTGGGGCCTATATCCAAACACTAAATTTAAAAACATGATTAATCATCCTGGAGGATAATGATCTGTTCACCTGTAGATTTACAGAGACTTTTGCATGCAAGACTGACAGGAGAGGGCTTTTTTTAGAGTTTAGTTTATCTTACGTTGCACCCAATAATTCAAAGCTATTCTAAGTATTTTCCTGAGTCAGGAACCTGTGAAATGAAAATGCCACAACTGTCAGTGAAAACAATGAGCAAGATCAATACAAATTGCAACAGTTGGGAAGATGCTGGGGACATTAATTTAGCATTCTGTGTCTGCAAAAGACCACATTTTCTGAGAAATTTCCAATACTAGACTAACATGCAATGTAAAAGAACCCCCCCCCACACACACACATACATATCTTATGATTTTATTGGAATATATAGTCTAGCAAACCATGCTAACACTGAAAGGACCTAAAACAATAAGATTGCTCTTAAATCACCCCCTTAAGATCAGCTTTCTGATCGCCATTTATACTGTTTGCATCATTTCTTTGGTGGGTGCAAGTGTTAAAAAGTATAAAACTGCTGAATGCCTGAATAATCTTTATTGCTCCTGCCATGGCTGTGTTGAGATATTCTGACACCGCAAGAATCGTGATTGTTCATGCATAGATTTGTACTGGCTTCTTTATAGAAGACTGACAAGAGGAGAATGTGAGAGTTTCATCTCTTTTGCACTGCACCTAATAATTGACGATATTGAAACTGAGGTCTGATTTAATCTATCTGTACCGTATTATCTAAATTTTCTTTTCATTGTCAAGTAAATGATTAACGTAGGCAACATTTTGCTCTTTCCATCTCCCCAAGTAGTTCAAATAAAAAGACAGCAAAACGTTAAGAAGCACCTACCTTTCCCTCCTTCTTTCATACATAGCTTTTATCATGTTCTATTTATTAATCCTCAATTACTTAAGGTCAAAAATACATTGTTTTCAGGCTGGGGATTTGGCTCAGCGGCATAAGTGCCTGCATTGCAAGCATGCAATTGTAAGTTCAATCCCCAGTACCAAAAAAAAAAAAAAAAAAAAAAAAATATTGTCTTCATAATATGGTGCAAAAAAGACTTGTAGAAATGCATTTTTCCATAATGTTCTAAAAATAGATTAACTTTGCTATTATTTTTGAAGTTGGTGCTCCCATTTTATCAAAATCTTGATGATGAAAGGGCACGTAGAGGTGGCAAGATGCTTCAGGAGTTACTACATTTGCTTGGTTTCCTCTTTCTCTGCCTAAAAAGAGTGCCCTCCATGCCCACTGATACTTAAAACATCTTTGATTTTCAGCAGAGTTCTGTTGAGGAAGAATCTCTAACTGAATCAAGACCATCAGCCAGGAAATATGGGGCTAAGAAGGATTCCAAACTTCCAGCAATTGACCAGATACCAGGCAAGCAGAAACATAAAAGTACTATGACTCCCAGAAAACCAGAGCAAGTGAGCCCCAGCAAACTGCCTCCAGGTGAGTGGCGGGGCTAGTTTTTTGAAATTCATGACATCCTAAATTTCCCTTCTTAAAGAGCACAACGATCAAATTGGTGGTATTAGTTAACCCCAGTGTTTTCCAAGTGGCTAATTCAAGTGTTGGAAGACCAAGGATCCTATGCAAATGTAAAATCAACTTCAGAGGGAAAGAGGCATGAATTATGCAGAGGAACTGCCTGACTTCCCACATTCTCTGCCCAATCATCTGCTTGGGATGGCACACCCCAGAATTACTGCCTTTTCATGTTCTTCATCCTTCTTTGGGAATAAAGGCGTTTGGCCCCAGGTATGAAGTTTTATGACTCAGGCAAGAAGAGATTTCAAAAGCATCTGAATGACATAATTTATAGCCAGAGGGAGAGTAATAAAGTTTCCTACTCCTGGGTTCATCCTCTGCAGGAGAAAGGAACTTGATAAATCCCTCCTTTTGTGCAATTTGGTAAATAATTCACTCTATCCTTCTCTTGGGGCAGAAAGGTCTTAATAGTATCTAGGAAAGAGCTAAAGCTAACAGAAAGTGTACACTTCCTCGGGGTCATCCCCATCAAAACCGACCTCTGTAGAAAAAATTTGAGTCCTCGGAGAGCTGTGCATGAGTAGGGTAACTAGGCAGAAAGGTCTGTCTTCCGGGAAAGGATCCAAACCGACTGCTGAGGAATCTGTAAATAGCATGCAATTCATTAAAATCCCAATCACAGCTACTTCCTAATGCTAAATAGCTCCTGTCATGCAACTACCAGTCAAGCCTTAATGCATTTTGGAAAATGGCAGCTTTCACTCATGGTAAACACCCACATTTTATTGCTTTAATGAAGTCAAAACCAAAATGACATTTTTCACCCTTGATGGTAAAGATGGAACCCAAGGCCTCACACATGCTAAGCAAGTGTCCCACCACTGGGCTACCCCCTCAACTTCCAAACCCCAAACTGATTCTAAAATGATGTCATTGCAGGCAAAATCCAACTCTTCCTCCATATTTAATCAGAGGGAAGCATCCTAGTCATTTTTTTTTTCTTTTTAAAGACTCTCAGTAAGGGGCTGGGGATTTAGCTCAGCGGCATATGCACCTGCCTTGCAAGCAGGCAGTCGTAAGTTCGATCCCTGGTACCGATTTAAAAAAAAAAAAAGACTCTAAGAATCAGGCTTCTAATTCAACTACTTAAAGGCTGACACAGAGCAAATGAGGTCATCCTACAAATATCTCAAAATATAATTTGTAATTTATTGAATTGAGGATGTTTTTATTGCAAAGATTTCAGGATAAGCTTTAAAAAATACGTATTCATTCAATATAATTTTTAGCCTTTTTGCTGAAACCATTATAATTTTTAGCTGTTTGTCATTTGCAGAGAGAAATCATTAAAATGAACTGTCGGGGCTCACTCGATAATTTAGTTTGCCTCCTTAATGCAGATTTTTTTTTCAGACTGAGCAAACTCCATATGGAATTTACAACAGAAAAAAAGAGGGAATTCATTCACTTTTTATCCAATAAAACATCAAATTTGAAGAATTACCAGACTGAAAAGTACCAAGGTTTAAGCAGGAGAGACAAACTGGCAGGAAGATAGCTTTTTCATGAGATGTTACCTGTGGCAAAAGCACTGACAGACCCCCAGCTTTATCACTATATTATGGCCCTAGCTCATGTCCAAGTGTGTGTAGCTGTGAACTGTGCAGGGGTGACTGTCCTCTCCTCCGAGGTGCTGGACATCGATGTCAATGCCACAAAGGCTGAATTGAGGTTGCAGCAGTCTGGGTTGATCAAGACGCTGGCTAAAAGCACAGCACTGGTGTGTTGTAGTCCATTCATTTAACATGTGTAGACCTGCTCTCTGACTGCCTCTCTAGCATAGTGCCCTTTTTAAATTTTTATTTTGAGACATAATCTTGCAAAGTTGCCCAGGTTGACCTTTTACTATTTACTATTCTCCTGCCTTAGCGTCCAAGTAGTTAGGGTTACAGGTGTAAACCATTGTGCCCTGCTATCCCAGGCTTTTACTGAATAGAAAAATGATAGATAGATAGATAGATAGATAGATAGATAGATAGATAGATAATCTGGGTATTGGGACTTGACTTACTGTAAATCTATGTGATGATAACCCATTTCATAAAGAGTTTTTGTTTGAATGTCAGCTGCCATCTAGAACACCTGAAACAGATATTAACAACACAGGGCAAAACAGTGCCTTCTATAAATATCTGAGAAAGTGTCAGATTCTCACTATTGTTCACACCACCCAAAGGAGTCACACATTTGAGTTTAAGCCCATGTGTCCCATAGAACTGCTTTGAGTGTGTTGTTCATGAGATCCCTCATTATCTCTCTGTGGGTGGTGGGGTATGTAGTCTCCAGGCTAGTGCTTGGGAATCAAAATGTTTGAGTTAGAATAAGGACCCCATTCTTATTTGCCAAATGCCTTTGGGCAAGTAATTTCTCTGTGCCTCACTTTTGTTGCCTGTAAAATGGGAGGTTAAAACATGCCCTATTTCCTGGCAACAGTCCCTTACACTGTAATCACTCGATAAATTATAACATTATGATGTCTAGCATAAATGAGAGCAGCATTTGGTAAAGAGAATAAAACATAAAATATTTTTTCTCTTGTCTTAAGGTTTTCCCACCCCCAATTATTTTTCCTTCACAAAAATCAAAGATGTATTTTTAAAATCTCTAACATACATGCAGGTGGACACTTGTACTCTGCTCCAAAGTGGAACACCAAGTGGGGGAAAAAAACGGTGAATAACCAGAAAGCATTCCCCAAGCTAAAGATACGCTTTACCTCCTGAAAGACATGGAAAATTCAGGCAGTGTGAAGGCAGCTGGGCCTGCTATGCAACTGGTTTAGAAATTCTCCTTCACGACCAAGGTGAACACTGGTGTGCGATGAAACACAAGCCTAGCAGGGCTGCTTGTATTTCAGAATTCTCTATGCATCAGTGAGCTACAGAGCAGTCTGCAGGCCCAGCGAGGGCAGCGGTACAGGTACCATCAGGGAGCTCAGGTGGCCTCCAACTCCTGCCTGCCCTCACTCGTTTCCCAGCCCCAGCCTGGGCTGGAAGGGAGCCACCTCTCCTTTCCAGGACATGAGAGGCACCCAAAGGCCATCATGCTGTGTGGGGTTCTGGCGCTGGAAGTCCTGAAGTACTCTTGACCCAACTTCCAGGCACGCGGGAAGCCACTGTGCCCTCTCCTGCCCTTTTCTCTCACCTGGAGCTTCGCAGAGCCCGCCCCTAATTATGTTCCAGGAAAATGGATCTGGATGGAGTCCTGAGAGCCTGCTTCCAAAATCTTGCCCTTTAAAATAAAGCCAACTGTTCTGAAATTACCCTCGCTTATTACTGAGTTCGACGTTAGTCATTACCAGACTCAGATTTACAGGAAGAGCAAGACCTATTCTGTCTCATTGTGGCTTATCTTGAAGACACGTTCCTGTAAAATGAAGCAAAAGCAGTGAAATTCAGGTTTTAAAAGATAAAAATCTAAAATAACTGTGGCCCCTTTTGGACTGAGATGTATTTATTTAAAGAGCAGCTGAAAGAGAATTTGAGAGCAAGTCCTAAATCTTCATAATTTGCCTCATTAAATAAATTCTATTGAAATTTTTTTTTTTCTGAAAGGCCAAGATTCATAGGTTTCTCAGCAAATCCAGTTGGTGTCCAACAACTTTCCAAGCTATCTGCCCAAGTTAGAAAAAAATAGCAATGGAAATTAATACTCCCATTTTCATAGAGAAAATGATAATTCCCAATCTAGTTTTGCTAACACTTCTGAGATAGATTGGCTCAGGGGTTTCACAGAGAACAGAAGGTGAAGTCCTGTCTTAGAAGCCTGACTGTACCACTCTGTAGCCCTATAAATGGGGGCTGGTGACTTCTCAGAACTCAGCTTCCTCACTAATAAAATGGAGTTACAGCACTCCCTCCACCAGGTAGATAAAAGGATTACAGTCCTGGCTATGGATTGGGTCATAGGTGAATGCCAATCCCTCAGTCCTTCCTCTGCTTATGAAGCCTGCTACTTCTAACACTACCTGTTGCAGCAGAGCCAGCATCTCTAGAGAAAACTCGTTGGCCAAAGAAACTTTAGTCTGAGATGTTAAACATAGTATATCATAGTTCTAAGAGCTTTAATATGATCATTAATTCAGTCAGTCATTTATCTACTAACCATAAGGAAATTACCAAATATGTTCTACAGCCTCCCCATCTCAGGGTATAAATACCGAGAAGAATTGGTTTTCTCACCCATCACTCATTTATTCAGCCCTTTACTTCATGAAGCTTCTTTGTAGGACCTGGGAAACAGAAATAAAATACTCAAGACCTGTCCCCCAGGGCCTCCTCGCCTAGTGGGCGAGGAGGGAAATGCACATTGTGACCAGGGTTAAGTCCCAAGAGCTGTGGTGAACATGAGCAAGATAAAAAAATCCTGGAGGATAGGGAACTTAGCCGGGTGAAGACAGAAGAAAGATGTGCCCAACAAGAGGTGCTGAGCATGCAAAGGCCTCCACAAAAGGACCCAAAAATCGCCCAGGGTCTTTTACCTCTGAATGTCCCCAGACCGGTAGCAGAAGCATCAACAGAAAGCCTGTTTGTTAGAAATGCAGAACCTGAGGCCTCCACCCAAACTTACTGACTGGTAAACTGCATCTAACAAGACTTTCAGGATATTTGTATGCACATAAATTTGAAAAGCTCTGATCTGTGGTCACCTTCAAATTAAGAAGTATAGAGGGTAAAATTGAGTTCCCATGAGCCTTTGAATGTTGTACTGCAAGCAAGGAGCACCAGTCATCAGAGGGGTATATGCAGGGAAGTGATGCAGTCGGCCTGGCATAATTAAGCAGATGCTGCTGTCTGGAAGAAGGGGATGCTTTGGAGAGTGCAGGTAGCCAGATGCAGCTGTGACCTGAGGCAAAAGCAGAGAGGATCAGGAAGAGGGTGTGAGCTTGAGGGGTACCTAAG